TCATGGACATAATTGTTACCACCTCTTTTAGATGACACAGGGCAGGGATGGAGGAAAGCTCCCATTAGTCTGGCTCCGAAAAAGTAAATGTTCTAAAACATGTGAACATATCCGTTTGGCATGTCCAAAAATCTTAGTGCCATCTTGAAGCTTTAATAACCTCAAAAATATGTATATTTGAGGTTTAATTATTTACATTCCCTTATCTACTTACTTACTTTCATGAATTTTGAAGAAAAAGATTAATTTTAAGTTTTTGACTTTGAAAATGCCTTTATTCAGTAATGCTTTAGAAAAATAATCTAATTCTTTTCTTCCTTTTGATTTTTAAAGATTACTTATTTATTTGAGAGAGAGAGAGAGCACATAACGGGGAGGGACAGAGGGAGAAGGAGAAGCAGACTCTCCACTGAGCAGGGAGCCCAATGAAGGAGGGGCTCGATCCCAGGACCCTGGGATCATGAACTGAGCTGAAAGCAGATGCTTAACCCACTGAGCCACCAAGGTGCCTCTCTTCCTTTTGATTTTTAAATCAGTGTTTGACATCGTCAATCAAAGGGAATAAGATAAAAAATTAAAATTAAAAATTTACTGTCCAAAATTTGCAACCCCCAAAAAAATTGTACAGCAAATATAAATAACAATGCCTTCAAAAGATGTTTCTTGAAATTTGTCAGGTTTGTACTTCTGAGATTATTAAAGCTCAAAACTGCACGAAGGCTTGGGAGATGCTGTCTCTTGCTGCCAATCCCTTCCAGCACTCAACAGTTACTGCTGGGTGCATACCATGCCCCATGTACTTGGTTCTGCTGTGGGTGGTGGGATACAGCTGTGAGGCCACCTACAGGACCCCTGTCCTCACACAGCTTAGAGTCTAAGAGAAGACACAGACAATCAGTGAAATCAGCACAGTAATATCAGCACAGTAATATCAGATACTGATCACTGCTGAGACCAGACCAAAGCGCGGTGGAAGAGAATAATCAGACTGAGGGAACGGGTAGAAATTTGAGGGTGGGAGCACCACACTGGGCTTTTGCAGAGTTCTGCAGAGCAACCCCAGGGTGAGGCCAGGCCAGGTGGCATTGGCCTTACCTGCCAGCCTTGTTAAGTCAAAGCATCTAGATTTTTGCCTTGAGCTTTGTGATGGGATCTCCTTTGTTCCACGATTCTGGAAAAGAGTTTGAAAGCCATACTGTTGACCGTTACCGAAATACCCTGAAATTTCGCGGCCACCAATGAATTGCTTCCACATATTTGGCCGACAGAACTCAAAACCTTTCCTGGGAGTTCCCATAATTTTATCTGAGTTTTAAAACAAACCAATAAAAATCTCATAGTAACACAATGATGAACGTGTTTTCAGATCCTTATGTTGGCATGAATTCGCTCCTCAGCCTGCAGACTTATATTCATGAGCATAAAAGGGGGTGATTAGCAACACTGAGGTTTGTGCAGATGCAGCATTTGCTGGTGTGGAGTACAAGTTCCCCTTTTATAATAAGGGCAGAGGTAGAAAGGATTTAACTCAAATCCCTGGGTCTTGCAGCTCTTAGAGAAGGAAGTCTCAGAGTCCCCACTGGTCAGTAGTTCGGTGATCAGACCCGCATGGTGGGGGGATAGATATGTTTGATGTGCACGCTGTGTTTCCTGATGCCATTGAATCACACCAGCCAGGAGAGCACTTTCCAACTGTGAACACACTGAGTCCTAGCCCCCGGGACTTCCCTCTCTCCCTTTGCCTCTCACCTTTACTCTTGTCTTCCCTTGTTCTCTCTTTCTTATCTGTCTCTGTCTTTGTCTCTCTCTCTGTGCCCCCTCTGTAGCTCCTACAGCATCCAGGGGCAAAGGAGAGAGAAAACCCTTGGGTAACCCTGAGCTTCTGTCTTGGCTACAAATGGTGCAGTCGCTTGCAAAAATGAATACTGTATCTCATTCAATTAATGCATGCCTCATTCCTCCCGAGCTTAACAAGATTAAAGGAATGTCGGGCGCCTGGCCCCAGAATATGAATGAGAGCCTCGCTCCCAGTCTGTGGCTGCCCCTGCGTCCCTGGATGCTGAAACAGTCAGAAGATTAATGCACACTAGTTCTGCTGTTCTGTGCAGCACAAAGGGAGCCAGGGAGGGCAAGAAGAGGAAAAGAGGCAGGGAGACAAAAGCTGCAAAGAGAGGGGTTAAAGGGCAGGACTGGATGCACCATACTGGCTGGATGATGAAATGCAGTGTTGTCTTTGTTTGGCACGTGGGACAGCTCAGGTCTACTTCTGCAGGGTTGAATTTCTCTCACCTTCTGGTTGAAGTGAGCTGTTCGGTTCTGCTCATCTAGACAAGTTCAAGACCATTTGGGTTTTCTTCTAGTGGGCAAGTGAAAACCAGCCTCTCTGCGATGTTTCCATACCCAGAAAGTGGGCATGACTTCTGGCCAAAAGAAGCTGCACTATTTGGTTTACTCTGTGATCAGCAGATCACTATTTCTGAATACATTTTTAAAATAAATAAAATACAGGGAGGCCAAAATCAAAATGGGAGGTTTTAGACTTCCTATCTCTTATAAAATGAACCATAAAACTTAGCCTTGAGGGGTGCCTGGGTGGCTGAGTCGGTTAAGCCCCTGCCTTCAGCTCAGATTATGATCCCAGCGTCCTGGGATGGAACCCCGTGTCAGACTCTCTGCTCCTTGGGGAGCCTGCTTCTCCCTCTCCTTCTGCTTGCCCCTCTCCCTGCTCTCACTCTCTCTCCTCTCTCACTTTGTCAAATAAATAAATAAAATCTGTTTTAAAAACACAAACCTTAGCTTCCAGAAAGTTCAAACCAAAAACTATGCTCCTTCTGTATGAGCTTCTTCCCATGGGAAAGGCTGTAAACTGATTATTGGACGTGTGTTGGCAAGAATGGTGACCTGATTTATGGATAGAGAAAACCCATAAATGGAAAATCTTGGCATGTTATTATTTATTCTTCTGGACTTGTCATTTCTGTTATAGAAAAAAAAATCAGCTAAAGTAATGATAACATACATCTACTCACCAAATATTTCTCAAGCTTAAAATAATGCTGATAACCTAGGACACAAGACACATGCTCGGTACTCAGAGATCTCACTGTCTAGTGATGTATGTGTTGACCAAGAAGAGCTGTAAAGCAACCAAAAGTGTTTATTTGGGTCTTAGAGATTGCAATCAAGGAGACATGGAGTAAAATGACATCCAAACTGTGCTTCAAACTGCAAGCAGGGAGTATGGGCTTACACAGGCAAATCCCACAAGGTCCCGTAACTTCTTTCGAAAGAATTATCATTTGTACTGACAGAGTTAAAGGGAATGTCTAAGGTTTGCTCTTCATCTAACACATGCTACATTATCTCCATTTCAGTCCAGAGTAAAAGGATGTTTTCCAGGAGGTGATTAAGGTGTAATCAACAAGTTATAATTGATAAGCCAAAAGTCCATGCAGTTCCCAAACTTGAAACAGGAGATGGGCAGAGGCCTTGCTTCCTGGCATCCTCCCCATCCGATTTTGGATGCCTCTTTTAGCAGTGCTTACTTAAGGTTGTAATTGCCTTCCACAAATGAAACTCACAAGCAAGCAATTATGCTAGAAGGCAGAAAGTGTGGTGCTGGAGGAGCTGGGGTTGGAGGATGCAAGGGGAGGAGGGGGACTGGATCCAGAATGACAGGCTGGGGATATGCCTACTGAGCACATGGGTTAGTCAGAGAAGGACAAGCATTGCGAGAAAGTGTATGCAAGCACATGGAGTCTACTATGGGACACTGAGGAGGAAGGAGAGACCCTTGGAGAGGAGACAATTTTATGTCAATTTCACGGGCCCTGCAAGAACCTGGCTTGTCCTTATTCAAATGGGCTTGCATGCCATGTGGAGAGTGATGCTTGTGTCCTAGTGTCCTTTGGCCATGGTAAATATAGTTAAGAGGTGTCAAGATCCAGGTTTTGACTGTGTAGAGCCCAGTCCCTTCACTTCATAACTCCCATGAGAAGAAAGACATAGGGCAGCTGCTCTAACATTCTAGGGTCCTTACCACAAAAGAGAACCAGTGTACGGTGCAGAGAACACTACGGCCCCCCAACAGCAATATCTGGAGGGTAGTGATAGAGGGACCAAGCACCCATCCCATTGGCTGCCTCTGTGCTAACCCTGGAGAGGCTTGTCAGGGATAGTCAGAGAGTGATGTAAACTATGGGTGCCCACCAGTGCACCCCCTTCTGCATCCCTGTGTGCAGCTCAGGTTTACCCAAACACAATCGTGGACCGCAGGACTCTGCTCCTTTTTAACGTCTCAGCTACTTGTTGGAAGAGCACAAACTTTACATAGATGACATAGGGGGAAAAAAAGGGGGGACTGTGTCATGCACCCCATTACTAATATATTTCAGAATGGTTCATTCTACATTTCTATCTTCTGCAAAACCCCTTCTCAGCTACTGCGCAACTTGGAGTTCTCTTTTCCTGACTCCCCCAATCTCTGCGCTGTTCCTGCCCCTCTCTCTACCCCCTAATCTCTAGGATTTACTCTGAAATATTTAATATCAATTGCACCCCCCCACACTGTCCAGACAGTGGGTATATTTCTCCTCCAAAACTGCCCACCCACCTGTCCATACCCAATTGCTGAAAACTGAGCTTTCAGTTTCAAAACTGGGAAACACAGTTATCAAGGAACCTCTTTAACAAAGGTGGTCTCTCTCCATCAGAAATTCTAGTCAAGTTTGGGGGACAGGGAACAATTTCTTCAAATAGTTACATAGCCAAAGGCATGGCGGGGTCCCAAAAGGATCGAGTGAGATGGTCTGTGAACCATTCTTCATCCTCTGAAGGTGTAGCCCATCCAGCCTGAGGCTGGACTCAAGATGCCATAGCATCCCCCAGGACACCTGGGTGGCAGACCCTCCAACCATACCCAGGACCCGAGCCCTCATCATCACCCTCCTGCCCCACTGGGCAACCAAATGCGGTGTTTCCCTGCCCACATGGGGCCACAGGTATCCGGATGCTGGACCAGCCCTTCATGACGGACATCATCGAGGCCTCGTCCATCAGCCACATGCCTCAGCTGATCGACATCTACAGTGCCAGCTGGGGCCCGACTGACAACGGGAAGACGGTGGACGGCCCCCGCGAGCTCACACTTCAGGCCATGGCCGACGGCGTCAACAAGGTAAGGACTTTGCTGTGGCCACCTGGCCCCTATCCTGAGGGGTAGGGTGGGGGACGTTGAGGGTGGGAGACATCCAGAGGAGGTGAGAGAATGAAGCAAGGGGCAGGGAAGGAGGCAGAGGTGGGGCTGTCACTCAGGACCTTGGAGAAATGGACCCCCAAATAGGGTTAGTGGTGAGAATTTATTGGAGGGGACTCCTATAAAGGGCAAAGAGGAGGGGGCAAGAGGTTGCAGGAGGTGCCTTCAGACAGCAATGCTGGCCTTATTTGCATAAAGGAATGGGGAGGAAGGAGAGTCATCCTGGCACAGGATGTGTGCTGGCACCCCCACTGTGCCACAGGTCAGCTGGGAGCAGCCCCCAGGCAGTGGCATCTGGGTGTGGAAGGGACGGCTCTAGCACCCATGAGCCCCCGGTTTTTGAAGCTGCCCTTCCCTGGAACAGAGAGCCAAGGAGAAGAAACCAAGACAGAGCCTCCAAAGGGAGTGTCTCCAGTCAGCCGCCCATATGAGAGGAAAGAAGTTCCCTTCCTACCATCTCAGGGTAGGGTCATCTCCAATAAGACATGAGCCAGGCCCCAAGATCAGAGTCTTCTGGGTTCAGGTCCCATTTAGGACACTCAGTGTCTGGGTGTATCTGCAAATGACTTGACCTCCCTGCACTACTGCATTTTACCTGTAAAATGGTGATAATCATTCATTTCTCCTGGGATCATTGTAAGGTGTCAATGAGATAAATATGCCAGTGTTTGGCACTGGGAATTTCCCCAGGAAGGGTTGGTGTTTATCCAGGTCATTATGGACGTTTCGTCAATCTCCCCAAAACTTTGTGGCATAAAGCCCAGTGTTTTGCTAGTCTTGTGGGTCAAGAACTCAGACAGGGCACAGAGGGGATGGCTGGTCTCAGCTCCAAGAGTCCTGAACTGCCAGTGGAAAGTTCCAGACTTGAATTGCCACACAGCTTTGTCTTCAAGAGCTCTTAGGATGGGCCGAGTTCCTCACCATTGGCGCCACAACACCAACCACTCAAGAGTACTTAGTCATTTTGTCTTAGTCTTGTCTTCAAGGTTGGACTTGCCCTCAGGTAACAGTGATGCCCTTTCCATGCTTTGAGTTTGCTTATCTAATCAGCCATGGACATAGGAATCACATTTCCCAAGATTACCACATGGTATGTGGAGTAAGAGTTGTCAGGTCCTAAGTGAAGGAAAGACAAGTATGTCACGTTTAGTGGATGGACTTTTGGAAGTGCATTTTAGGAATTTTTAGAAAGTTTTCTTCTTGGATTTTGACCGATCTCAAATGGATGGAATGGTTATAATCATGTTTGGATATATAAATTAGCACCATTATAAATGAACTACAAAATGCATTTGTTCTGTTTAAGTTATTTAAGGTCTATGTGAAATATACATGAACTTATTACTTGTACATTTATATCACTAAGAGGTGTGTGTACGAAACACCCCAAACTCAACAGTAGCTTGGAAAGGTAAAAATATTGAAGAAAATTTGAGTGGGCAACTGAAGGCTATTTTGTTGTTGTTTTAAAGTGTTACAAAATGTCAACATTGTGTTTTGTTTTATTTTTAACTGTTGTCACTGTTAAATCCCACAACTTACTCATCTTAAAACTGGAAGCTTATACCATTTGACCTAGGTATGGTCACCCCAGTCCGCTTCACCCCTCAGGCCCCAGGCCCTGGTAACTCCCTGTTTCTATGAGTTTGACTTTTTTTAAGAGTCTACAGATAAGTGATACCATGAAGTTATTTGTTTTTCTCTGCCTGGTTAATTTTACTTAGCATAATGCCCTCTAGGTCTGTCCATGTTGTCACAAATGGTAGGATTTCCTTCTTTTTATGGCTGAGTGCGTGTGTGTGTGTATCTCGTATTTTCTTTATGCATTCATCTATTGATGGACAATTTGGTTGTTTCCATGTCTTGGGTAGTGTGAATAATGCTGCAGTGAAATTGGGGATGCAGATACGTAGAGACAGTAATTTCATTCCCTTCAGATTATCCCAGAAGTAGTACTGCTGAGTCATATGGTAGTTCTGTTTTTAACTCTTTTCCTGCACACTCTTTTCCTCAGTGGTTGTACCAATTGACATTCCCACCAACAGTGCACAGGGATTCACTTTTCTCCACGTCCTCGCCAACACTTATCTTTTGATAATAGTGAAGCCAACTTTTTCAATACGTTTCCTGAGGTCAGAGAATATGTTTTCCACACCAACTATCCTTGAAGAACATAATAAAGAAGAAATATTTCCAAGAGCTCTTAATTGGGGAAAAAAAAATCCTCAGAAATTGGCCTCACACTTGAAAACATGATGGATCAGCTGTTCAATCAATCGTTATGGAGTTAATATGTGAGTGACATTTGTTGGTTGAAAGATTAAAAGTCACATAGAAATCTGTAACTCTAGTGAACGCCAGTGGTGCCCACCTACATCTCCTTTATCAGCCTTGGGGTGCACCCCCAGCTGATAACTCATGACTTCCCTTTCCCTGGAGAATTGAATTACCCTGGCCTATGGGAGACTTTCATCCAGATGGTTATGCCCACACACACCCCCAGGAAGCAGCCCATAACCAATGACTAATTCAGGGTAGAAGAAACCAGCCTGCTTGCTCCCAGCAGGGATTACTCTGAAGCGTCATTTATTACCTCAGAACCTCCAGTGAATCAGGCCAAAGCTTAACTTAAGTTGAGAACATGTCGTTTGGGGTTCCTTCATTGCCTATCTTGTTTCACTCCCTCCTTGACAGATTTCCCCCTGAGTATTTGTTCTCAGTACACCTGGTAAGGCCAAGTCCCTACTTCAGACTCTGCTTCCAGTGAACCCTCTCTGAGACATTATCTCATTGAGGTCACTCTTTCCCTTGACTTCCAGGAAGCTCAGAATCAAATTTGTGCCTAACAATGTAGGTTTTTGTAGGCTAAGTTTTCTGCTATCCCATTTTCTCCCCCTCTCTCTACCAGCCATGGCCTCTAAAATCATTCCTTAGCTCTTGTTCCCATGTCCTTTTTTGTATTCCTATTGAATCCAAATCTATGAATACTGGGAAGTATACAATTTGTAAAAGAATTGATTAAATGAGTTCCATTTGATTCCATTAAATTTAGCTGTAAAAAGTCTAACTTTGGGATCCTCAAATTGTTTCCTACTTCCACAATTCCTAGTTTTAATGGACTAAACCATCTCACTAGACAAAAATCGACAGAGTCTGCACCCTAAACAATAATAAACAGTGAATCAAACAAAGTGCCACCCTTTAGAGCAGGGTTCCACCAACCTTGGCCCACAGGCCCGAACCAGCACACTAGCTATCTTTGCAAATAGTTTTCTAGGCTGATCCATGCCTTTGTGTCTTTGCAAACACAATTTCTCTTCCAATCAGGGCTGTCACAGTCTCCTCATGTAAGGAAGCACATGGGGCCTGGAATGATGGAATCATCCACAACCTCTCTTGTGGCCTGTCATCTCCATCTCCATCTTCACTAGACAGCTAGCGTTGCATGAAGGGAGGTCTGCCTCTGTTGCAGGGACTTTTTTTTTTTAAGAGTTGGCATGAGATTAGAGAGCTGAGCTTGACAGCTGAGAGATCCCAGTTCTCACCTCAATCCCATCCTGTGTTGGCCACAGGAATTCACACAAGTCACTTAGGTTCTCCAAACCTCACTTTCTTCTTCAGTAAAATAGTCCATATCAGTGGTCCTCACTGTGCAGCCACTGGACCACCTGAAGTTTGCCAGGGATACAGAGCTCAGCCCCATCTGCCCACCTGTTGTATCAGAGTCTGCATTTTAACAAGGTTGCACTTACATTTGAGAGGTGCTTCTCTAAATGATTTCTAGAATATATATCTCATAACCCCAAGATACTAAGACCACAAGATAATGTGGTTTTGAAAATCCCCCAATGACTAGGAAAGGGCAGTAGAGGTGACTTGTTTTCTGGAAGTAATGGCACTGTGCATCTTCATCTGGGTGGTAAGGGGAAGGGATTCATGACCAAGCTGGATGCTCTGGTGTTTCTCTGAGCTGCAGGAGCAAGGGCTCAGGTGGCTCAGCTTAAGGGGTTTCTTATAGGGATACACAATGAGGGACAAGATCAATGGGATGGATTCGAGCAGGACCTCATCCAGGCTGGGACCAGACATACGTTCTGGATCCAAAATGGCTGCAGGATTCTGGCCACAGAGCATATGGAGATTCCCATGGGAGCTCCCATGGGCACAGGGCTTGGCTGTTCTCTCGTGCCTGTCTCTCTTTTTGTGTCCCTCTCTGAATCCACTGTTCCTCTTCCTTGGGGCTTATGTTCATATGCTACGTCTGCATAGACAGGACCCCCTCAGCAGCCTTGTTTGTCATAACCTGTCGGGCTCTACTCCAGCCTCCATCTCCCCCACCACTCCCATGCTTGAAGGGGAATCTTGGCCCCAAATTAGGGGAGACACTTCTCTCTCTGGTAGGTTCCAAAACTAACAAATGTAGGTCCTTTGGACAGGTTTAGAACTTGAAGGGTCAGAGGTCAGTCAGAAGGCTGCTAACAGAGCCTCTTTCTTTTCTGTTCTGGTAACATCAAGTGGCAGTTGTCACCATTGCACAGGCTTTATAGAGCTCTGGAGGGGAAGTTTCCTCTGAACGGTTGAATTCTTTCAGAAGTCTCAATAGAAATATAACACCATGAGCTTCTCCTGTCTTTTGGGTGGAATTCTTCTCCCCCCCACCAAAATTCATATGTTGAAATCCTAACCCCCATCTCAGAATGTGACATGATTTGGAAATAGGGCCATTACAGTTGTAATTAATTAAGATGAGGTCATCCTGGAACAAGGTGGTCCCCTAATCTGATATGACTAGTGTCTGTATTAAAAAGGTAACTTTGGACACAGACACACGGGAAGAACACCCAGAGAACACAAAGGCAGAGATCGGGGTGATGCCTCTACAAGGCAAGGAAGCCCCCAGCAGCTTGGAGAGAGTCATGGAA